CTTCATTGTGTGCAAACCCTGCTTCATGCCCAGATCCTGAACAAAATCAGAGGAAATTGTTTAAAATCAAAGGAAAACAAGCATAAAAAAATCTTTTATTCACTTAATGCTTTTGGAGTGTGACTGAGACTGGCCAAAGCACACAGGTGTGTGCTAGTTTCTCTGGTGACCTGAAGAGCTACTACAGCAGTTAAATGCCATATTAAAGAAGTTTTTAACCATCAGGTATGACAGCCAAAACAAAGCCACCTTACTGATCACGTAGAGATAGCTGGAACCAAGCTGAGGAACAAACTGCCCACCTCCACTGGGCTTGATCTGCCATCCCAGAACCAGCATCTCTGTGTTCTACTGGTCATGGTAAAAGTCAGTCTGTGAGCACAAGGGATCCTGGAATCACTCACCTTCTCCTCTCCTGTCCCTTCCAGACCCACCCTGCCCTGGGTTTGGGTGCAGGCACTCGGTGTGACACGACAGGGCATTGCACTCAGGCCTAACAGCCTCTGTAAGTGATTTCTCTTCTTCCTAGGAATGCAACCTGCTGAGGAAGGGCTCGGTTCTTCTGGCTGACAATGTCATTTTCCCAGGAGCTCCAGATTTCCTGGCCTACGTCCGCAACAGCCCCCGTTTCCAGTGCACCAACTACCCATCCCATCTGGAATACATGCAAGTGGAAGATGCTGTGGAGAAGGCTGTGTTTTTGGGATAAAGTGAGCCCTCAATGCTCAGCCTTTGTTTCAAATCATGTAAATGCAACTGCACAGGTTAACTTGTCCATGCTTTAATTTTTGGTGGGGTTTTTTAATTACTTTTATTTTGAAGCCTGTAATTAAAGCAAGTGTTAGTGGAGATCTTTTTAGACCAGGTGGAAACCAAGAGTGGGAGTGAGCAGAGTAACTGCTCTGTGCCATTGTTCACATAATGCAGCACACCCAAGGTGATGCACATTGCATGCCTTGACCAAAACATCATCTAACAACAGAGTCTGTTATTTTGAGCTCACACTTGAACCACCACACTTTGGGCTCAGGGTAAGGTGGAGAAATACACTGCAACTTCTGAAGACTTGTGTCCCCAAGCTGAACTCATTAATGGTTATCAAGAGTGGAAAAAAGCAGGCGTGTTGCAAAAAAAGACCATTCCAGGTGCCCCAATTTTGCTCAGTTACTATCATGGCACCTCCATGCAGTGAAGGCTCCTACTGTGGTATCATCACATACTCCTTTGCATGTTTACTGCAAGTGTTAATAATCTCTGTGTGAGAGAAAAGAGCACACACACTGAAAGACCCATGCAGTGATGAGAAAAACAAACCAGAATTTTGCAAAATACCAACAAATAAAATTAGTAACCTGCCCTTGGAGATGTGGGGAACACTGAAGTAGTAAACAGATTAAAATAAACAGGTAACAAAAGGAGCAGACTCCTTCCAAAGGCATACAAAACTACGTAACATTTGACCTGGAGAAAATGCTGTTTACCTGCTCATTATATTGCATATACATAGGATGTGATTTTTGGGGGCAGGGCAAGCTGCTGACTCTGAAGTGCTGTGTATGTTTAAGGCACTGTATAAAAATAAAGCCAAGAGAGAATGGTTTTACCAGGTGGGTCCTGCACACCCTGGGTCACCTCAGTGCTGTCAAACCTCGTGAATCGTGTGGGCTCTCAGGGAGAAGATACAAAGCCAAATCTGAAGTCTCCAACTCACCTGAACAATGCAGCAGTCCAGTGGCAGTCCCCAGCACGTCCTGCCGTGATTATCTAACAAAGCAGTGGCTGTATTTATAAATAAAATATAAAAAACAATAGAGCAGGGACGTGACTTCCATTGTCTCCCAGGAATTCTGCACTACACTTGGGAATTCCAGCCTCAAAACAGCCACGGAGAGATCCAACAGCTGAAAATCACAGTGAAAATCAGGGATAACCATTCTCATGTTTCCCAGAAAGAATTCTTTCAGGCCTGTTAGGAGTTTCTTCCTCTTAACAGCCCACCCTCCTGGTACCTACCCTGGCCTGGGTGCTACAAAAATCCACCTCCAGGGCACCAGTAAGGAGAGGAGCAGAGGATCAACCACACAGGAGAAACAGAAAATAATCACTGAGCCCATTTACTGCCATGCACAGGGGAAACCTGGGTACAGAGCTGACCAGGCTTTTCTGTACACCTGAGGTCACAACCCTGAAGAATCCTCTCGTTTCTGCACCCAGCAGACACTCCTGTCACTGCAGGGCTCACACCAAGACCCACGAACAGACCAGCCCCAGGTGCCTGCGGAAGGAGGGGTAAGGCTAAGCAGGTGGACTGTTCTGCACTTTACAAGAGAGGATCAGAAAAACACATTTCTACTGCTAGTTAATGGCCAAAATTACTGCCCAAGAGACTGTCAAGAAGATTAGGGAAGATGGGAACCTGTAGAGTTAGCATGGATACTGCAAAAGATGCAGCAGTGAATACATGTGGCAAATATAACAGACCACCTTACAGTATAAAAAGGTATTTTAATTAATTAGAAAGGATCTCCCACATGGCAAACTGTAAAAACAAACAGTGCATGTGCCATCAGAATATTTACAGAATTCCATGTGTAAGAAAACTTCTTCCACTTCACTACACTTTTGAAATGCTCTTAATTATTGGTGGCAAGGGATGAAAAGAAAAAAGCCTGGCTCAGTTTGCATGACTGACAATTAGAAAAAAGGCTTTTGGTCAGTTGAGCAGATATGATCTGGAGTCACTGACACATAAATGTGAAACCTCCCAGGGATAAGAAGGACTTTTCAAAATAAAGTCACGCTTTGAATTCTGGGAGGAGCAAAAGGCAGACAATGGAGCTCCTAATTCAAATACATTCCAAAAAGCTACTGAGTGTTACTGCAACATCAGCTTATTACAGCTGGAAGACACCACCTCTTCTTGCCCAAGCCAGGTCTGTGTCTGGAGCTCGTGTTTAAAGTGCCAATGGGAGTGGAAGCTCCCAAGGGAAAGAACTCCCCTACAACAACGAGCAGCTCTCAGCACATTCTCACAGCTCGTGCCACAGGTCAAAGGCAGCACCCTCTGCATCACAGCACCCCTGCAGGCAATCCTTCCACCAGCACTGCCCACGGAGCAAAGCACCACCACAGCTCTGTACAGGAGCTCGGGCCTCCTCCAGCCACTGCAGAGCTCTGAGCCCCGAGCCAAACTCCAAATGCAGGCAAGAGAGCACAGAGAGCTCCAGCAGAGCAGCAGCAGAGCCCTGAGACCCCAGCTCTGCCACCGAGGGGACACCAGAGAGCTCCAGCAGAGCAGCAGCAGAGCCCTGAGACCCCAGCTCTGGCAGGGCGGTGCCACTCTCGGCCAGCGCTGAGTCCCTGTGTGGCTGCTCAGGCAGGACTCAGTCACAGGGTATCTCACAGTGACACTGTGATTGCTGTGCATGCACACACTGAACGCAGCACCAGAGTTTTAGTCCTTGCCTTTGTCTCTCCAGCTCAGTCAGTGGCCACACTGCAAAACAAATTCCCATTTTAAAAAATGCCCTCTGTCAGCTCGCACCAGCATGAGGTTCTGCCATTGCTGGGCTCAGCTGCTCCGAGACCTTCCCAGTGATGACACTGAGGAAGAGACCCTCAGGGGTGGAATATTCCAAGATGCTGCTTAAACCCTAAACAGCTGAGGGCTGTGATATTTCTTGCCCATTGTTACCAGGTTAACCTTTCACCTGCAGGACTCGCTGCTTCTGTTTGCCCAACCTGTTAGAAGCTGGAAATGAAATCATTTTGACAGCTGTAAAAGGTCATTTGTAAAAACAATGTGTTTGTTCTAGCTCGGTACCTTACCTACAGCACCTGCTGGTGGTTGCTGGATCAGTGCAGCCACAAAGGAAAAATCCGATTCCTCAACGCAGCGGAACCCAACGGCACCGAGGAGAGGATGCTGAGCCCAGGAGCCCACACCTGACCACAAACCACATCCTCCAGCTGCAGGCACACCTCCAGAGAGGATTTACCAACCTCCTGGGAATGCATTTGAGACATCTGCAGTCAGGAGGGCACAGTAAGGAAGGCGAGCTGGCCATGGCCCTCCAAGTGCTCTCTGCAAACACTCGCGAGAAAAGGGAACCCTTCAGTGCCGTGAATGGGACAGGGAGGAATTCACTTGTGGCAAACTCTGTTACTGGCCGTGGTTCATCAGCCCTTCACTCAGAGAACACCCAACCCTGCCCTGTCTGCCAGGCCTGGCAGAACACGCCAAGATTTGCTGCCTTTGCCAGGCTACGAAAGCTCTGGGTAAGGACGGGGAGTTCAGGGGCATCAGCCCCTCCGACCTCACCCACACAGGGCAGCCCCCAGGAGAACAAAGATCTGCTGGATGTTGCTTTAAATACACGGGAGACTCTTCAGTACCAGGATTTTCTTCCGTCCCACGGTAACAAATGTGAATTATTTGGCACATCCCCAAAATAACAATTTCTCACGTCAACCAAACCTCATAAATTGCTACAATTTGTTACTCTTACACACTTATATTTATGAGAATACTTGCACACATTTCAGAAACGGGAAATCTTTGTAAAGTTTTATTTTATTAACAAGTTGGCAATATTATTACCAAGTTGGATTTTGTTACGAAATTGGAAAAAGTTACTAACTTCCCAAATGGAAAAGCTATCAGCAAGTTAGGTTTGTGTTCACAAATGTGCTGGCCTTTGCACAGTGATGCTGATGTCCTTCCCACAGAAATATGCTTGTATATTAAAAAAAGGAAAAAAATCCCCTGATCCACAGTCCAGGGTTGGGCTACAACTCCAGCACCTGGCAGAGAGTCAAAAATGCTCAGCTTTCCTCATTTAAAGGATATTTCAATTGCCCTCGTTACCACTGACCTTTTGCTAACACAGAGCACTGACCTGAGCTAGGGCTGAATAATCCCCTGCCACAGAAAGCTGCTGCAAGGCCGAGGAATACTTGAGATACCTGATGGAACAAAAAGATAACCAGTGGCACATGTATTCTTTCCAGGCATGGTTTATTGAAAACACACCAAATTGTTAACCTACATACCTGGTTTCTAACAAGCATTCTACTTGTCTGCATTATGGAAAGATCCTATAATAATAATACATTCTGTCACGGTAACATTTGTTCTATGAAAAGCATAATCCACCTTTTTTATTCCTCTTCATACTTGTAAAATCAAACCATTCTAAGTGTTTCAGTTTATAGTACAGTGTAAATACAATGCAAAATCCCACCAGTCTAAACTACAGAGAGAATGTTGAGCAGTATTACAGAAAACACATTGTTGATTTTTTTTTTTTAATTCTCCTACCATGAAAATTTTAAGGCACATGATAGTTACAAACACATTAGCTACTAATTACCAGTAAGCTTCTTAGTCTAGTTATTTTGTTTTTCTGAACAGTAAGAACCAGACTGGCAGGCTTTGTAGTATCTGCACTATCTTCCTCCCCACCTTGGACTTCAGATCATCCTACCCTGATGTCAAACGTAAGACAGAAAACAAAGGTTCAGGATATCTTCTCCTCAAATGCACTAAATTAGTTACTGTACCAGTAAGAGAATTTCTCTGTCAAACATAAGGAAACACCAGATTTTAGGGGCATCCAAACCAAGAAATTTTGCAGGAAACTACAACTATATAAACAGCTTGAAGAGCTGTGAGAGCAGAGCCCCAGCCCCAGCCCCGCCCGTGCTGGGGGCGCTGGCACTGCAGGCCTGGCTGAGCGGGCACTGCCGCAGCAGAGGGGCTGGCACCTCTGATGTGCCCACGGGGCCTCCTCGGGGTGGGACTGTGCCTCTCCCAGCAGCTGAGCCTGTGCTCGGCTGTAAGGCAGGTGGCAGAAGGGAACTCCCCACCTTCAGTCTCGTGGAGCTGCTCTGGGATGTGAACTGCCCTTCCCAGCACTGCTGGAAACTGCTCCCCACGGCAGGCAGGAACTTCAGAACCTGCTGCAGCAAACACACCCCCTGCTTCCTTCCTGCGCCCCTGGCAGCAGCTCAGCTCCTCCTCAGCCCCTTCTGGGACATCCTGGCAACAGGGCAGGATTTGCTTTCCGAATTCAGGTGCCCTCAGAAGGGGCAGCTCTGAGCACGCAGGCAGGACTGGGGAGGGCAGGTGGTGTGCCCAGGACACACTCCAGGCTGGGACCTGTGGCTGCCCGGGCTGTTCTCTGGGGAGCATTCCAAGCTGACAACACATCTTGAGTTGCACTTATGGCTAATATGCTACTTAATTCCAAGACAGAAACAAACTGCCCTAAAGCCCTGGCTTTCCGCTCTCCTCCTCGGATTCTGCAGAAGACGGGACTGACCTGGGAAGCACAACTGCTCACACCCCCAACACCCACACTGGTTGCTTCTCCAGGGGAGTGGACACACAGTTTTGGTTTCTTAAACCTCCACAGCTTCACGAAGGTGCTTGTTCTGCAGTAATCACGTGCCATCAGAAGTTCCCTCTCCCTGTGTTATCTCAGCCCTGACTGGGCCATCCAATTTCCTCCTCCTTTTTAGCAGGAGCCTTGCAACACCATCACGTCCTTCCACAACCATCCCTCCCACTAGAATTTCCACAGGTAGAAATCTCTTCTACCCCAGCCCTTTGCAGGCAGATTCCCTCCAGTTTTCCCGGTGAAACCAACAGGAAAAGAGGAGGTCACATCCGTGAGCCCTAAAAAGCACTGCCTGACCCTACTGCAGCTTTAATCACACACATTGCCGCTTTCCCTTCTTTACATACAGTCCCTGCTGCCAAAATACAACAATTACGGGTTCATCCACCACGTCCCAGAACAGCTCCGACAGCCACCCACGCTCGGGCCAGCAAGGGGAGAGGGGAGGGCAGGGGTGGGCACACATCCCACCAGTGAGCTTCTGGCCACACACAGAAAGGACACGACATCACCAGCCCTGGTTCGAGGTACCCTGCTTCAGACCTCAGCTGGTGGGCTGACAGCACAGGGTGATGAGTCCCACACGTAACTCACCCCCAATCTGCTCTCCTTCCTCAATATCCAAACAGTTCGTTGAGAAGAAAAAACCCCCAGTAACGTTGAGGATGGGTTATTGCTACATACTTGGGAATGAGCTGTCACTGTAAGGCATGGGGAGGGGTTAGACTGTGATTCCCAGGGGAAGCCTTGGCCCATCCACTTGGTATCCGGCTTCCTGACGTACCACCCTTCGCTTCTCCGCAGCCACAAACCACGCTGTCAGCTCCCAGCCCTGCTGGCTGCCATCACACTGACCCCAGGAGAACAAGGGCCAGTTTGCTACAGTGACCTGGGCAGCCAGAGCCATCCCACCTGACAGGGAGGGTGGTTATCACAGGGTGCAGTGGAAATACAAGAAAAGCTTTTGGGGGGAGTGGGATGGGGTCTGAATTCGCTTCTCAAATACTCCTTAGTGTTTTTAGCCCACTAATGAGAGAGACTGAAGTAGATCAATCCAGATTCGGAGTGTCCCTGTAGTGTGCCACTAAGAGCCATGGGATATCTGGGATAGGAGGTCATGACCATAACTGGCCCCAGTCACTTCACTTCCCCCTTCCTGTGGTTTTCTCTGTTAACCTCTTGCTGGCTTTGAAATATCTGTAAAATAACTAAACCACAAAGTCTTAGCAGAGACTCCTTTCAACAGTCAGGTCTTTAGGTGAACTTTTGCTCCTTTGGTAAATACATGGTTTGAAGTAGATCAGGGACAGACTGAGAGCACGGCCCTTCTCTTACACTGTTCTAATCACTACAAAGCAGGTTCCGTTGCTAATTACTGAACGTTTTTAAAAAAATCCTTTCATATACAAAAAGAATACACCAAGTACATAACCAAAAGTGATATAAAACTCTTCTGTGTAGCTTGGTTAAAAGGGTCTCCGCGTATTGGCAGAACGAGTATGAAAAGAGCACCATTGAGAGAATGTACAGTCAGACGGTGGGGCTGCTCTCACTGCCCACGCCACGTCTGCACCAGGCACCGCCCCGACAGGCACTGCTCCGACAGGCACTGTCCTGACAGGCACTGTCCTGACAGGCACTGCCCCGACAGGCACTGCCCCAACAGGCACTGTCCCGACAGGCACTGCCCCGACAGGCACTGCCCCAACAGGCACTGTCCCGACAGGCACCGTCCTGACAGGCACTGCTCCAACAGGCACTGCCCCAACAGGCACTGTCCTGACAGGCACCGACTGTCCCGACAGGCACCGACTGTCCCGACAGGCACAGACGCCTCCCCTGCTCCCGCGGCCCAGCAGGGCTCTCACGCAGCTGAAAACACACACTTGGCTCTCTTGATTTGCTCCGAGCAACCTCACCTTCCCCAGCATCCAGAAGCCACCACTGCAACGCCCGTGGGAGATGAGGGTCAGAAAGGGAGGTGCGAAGGAGCACACGTGTCATCCGAGTCACCGACAGCTTCTGGCATCAGTCTTTTTCCCTGAATCAACAAATGCTTCCCTCTCCTGCAAACTACTTTACATGGTTTTGTTAACCTATCCTCTGCACAACAATATATATATATAGATATATAGACTTTTTTATTTATTTATATATATGTATTCATGTCAAATTTTTAATATACTCAAGAAGATACAAAGCTCTTGGTACTTGCCTTTTTTTTTAAAGTTTTTAAACCTTTTTTTTACAAAAAAAAATGTAGATGTTTACTCTTACAGTAATATTTTGGGGGAGGTGAGGTTGTTGGGTATTTCCCCTTTTTAATTACAAAAGAAACGGCAGGCACTGAAAACAGCAGATGATGTTTGCTGGACTCAAAAATGTGCTTTCCAGTCACACCGTTTTTAGGAGCTCGTTTAAAACTAAATGTGGCAATCAAAGAACAGTGGCAACCAAGTAAATTCAGCAAAAGTCCTCTCATGCTACTGGTGAGACATTTGCTTCCTGTTCTCATCTGCTGCCCTCCCCTGACCACTGCCTGGAGGATTTGGGGCTCTGAGCTCATTCAGTTCGAGCATTTCCAGCCCCCCAGCAGAGCCCCTTCCTGGGGGTGACCCTGCCCTGCACTGGGCAGAGCTGCTGCCCACGGGCACTGCGGGCCAAACAAAGATGCAACCTCAGAACAAAAGCACAGCAACACGGAAATCATGACGATGATGATTTAAAAAATGCCAAACCAGTTCCCTTTGTGGCATTTTTCATCAGGATCTACAGCCCAAAGCAAACATGGATCCAGCAGTGAAAGATTTACCATCAAACAGAAGTGGTAGACCCATCTAAAATGTATCCTGTTTTCAAAATAAGACATCCTACAGAAAAGCTCTTAATTCTCTTCTCAATGCCGTAACAGCAACAGCAAAAGCAGTTGTTAATCATCATCAATGCAACAGTGGTACATTTAACAAGCTCCTTATTGCAATCTTTGAGAATGTGAAAATAAAAAGCCAGCCAGCTCCATTTCTCAGCACAGATTTCTGAACCAGGGACACTGAAGCCTTCCATAAACTGCTTTTCAATATGTGGAAATAAAAACAGAGACTTTACAGAATTCAAAAGGCAGAAGTATTGTACACCAGCTTATAATGACAATATAGCACTGTGATTGATACAGCTTACTCTAAAAGCAGATTATACAGCTGGCATCAATTGTCATCCACTCTCCAGTTTATCTGACTAGCATTTTTGTTCTGCATTTTCTCCCCTCACTGAAATCCAATAAACCCACTCACCATTCATTCCTGCACCTTCTGTGGAAATAATAAAGAAAACCTGAACATTTTTCAAAAAGCCTTCAAAAACGTGAAGCAGAGTCACAGTTCAAAAGAAATCCCCCAAAACAAAGAAAACCCAAACCAAGGAGCCCCAAGGCAGGAAAGTGCTCTCATCCTCACGGCTGCCCCGTGGTTCCATCTCCAGTGTCCCCAGTTCCCTCGCTGTGTCGCCGCTCGGCCCTCCCTGCCCCCGTCCCCAGCCGGTCCCCAGGGAGCAGCAGGACAGGGAAGGTTGGACTCTCTGCTTGCTCTGTTCCCGCAGGAGCAGGGCAGGGAGGGGAGTGGTGGCTGTCCTGGGGGATGCAGGGGTTGAGGAGCACACTGTGGCTGTCAGGGCGCTCCAGTGCTCCGGGCCACGGCAGGGGTTCCTCCCACACCCCCCTGCACCTGCAGAGCCCGCGGCCCGTCAGGGGTGCAGCGCCCTCCGGGTCTGAATGGCAGTGGTGACTGATGAGATCCTCTGTGTCGATTCAATGTTTGTTTCTCCCCCTCAATTAAAAAAAACGTGGTTGGACTTTAGCCCTGCAAAATAAGGTCAGAATTGGTTAATACCGGTCGGTAGCACGGCCTCGGTGACCTCCATCCCCTCGTGCCAAGCGACCCCCAGCACACGGGTTCCTTGGAGGGTCTGGCTGGGAGAAACGAGCCCAGACTGCTCTTCCCAGTCAGGACCCCGGTGTGAGGCTTCCCTGCTCAGAGAGGGCAGGAGAGCAGCAGGCACCACTCGCACACTCTGCCCTCAGCCCTGCCCAGCCACGGGGAGCCAACAGTGCAGGGGCTGCTCTGCCCATGGAACAGCCCCTCCCCACGCTGCAAACCTGCTCTGGGCAGGGGCTTCCACCCCAGAACACAAACAATCACAAACACTCAGCATTTACCCTAGACTGAAAAGGAGAGGAGAAAATATCCAATACCACCCCCAAAAACATCCAGGAGTTTTCTCTCCCACTAATGCAAGGGATTTCCATGTAGAATTATGGACAGATGATGGTTCATTGTTTGAGATTTGGGCCTTTAAAGGTCTGTTGTCCACTCTGATGGGAAAGTTGCTCAGTGCCTTCGTGACAGTCAGTAAAATTTCCCTTTAGTCATAGCCAGGGGCACAACACCTGCTGTTCCAAACATAGCACCCTCTGATGGAGTGCCAGGAGGTATCACCAGGGTAACTCTAGCAAGGCAGCAGGAGACAGATTAGCAGTGGCAGGAGCGAAGAAAGGCCAGTGACATTACCAAGGAACTTGGCACGTGGCAAAGGCAGACAACCAGAAAGCGACACAAAGGCACCTTTCTTTAGTGACAGGAAAAAAAAAAAAAAAAAGAAATTGAGAAGTGGGAGCTGTGGGTCACTGTTTATTGTGTGACCAAAATTATCTCTCCTTGCAGAGTAACTTGTGTACAGTCAGCAGCTTTCCTGCAGATGGGCAGGGCTGTGGAATACATGGGAACCTCAGGGGGCATCCAGAAATAGTCAAGGATATGCTTTTCCTTAAGTCTCAGACTAATTCTTATAATGAGCATAGAGGGGGAAGAAATGGTTGGAAACAGGAACACAGTACTCCAATTCATTCCCATGGCCTAACAGAAATATTTCACATTTCAGCTGACAACCAATCATTCACAATATTAATTTTCTGCCTGCTTATTTGACAGGTTACTTTTTAATCAAAGAGTGGTGTTTGATTGCATTTCATTAAAGATACACTGAATAATGTAAACACCACTTTTTTTTGCAAATGCATTTTCATTTATCTGAAAGCACCCAGTTAGCAGTTAGACTTGAAGAGATTCCACAGTGATAACAGATCATGCACCAGAGAAGTTAATCACTAGCCCCAATTACCATTAAAAGGACCTACCATGCATGCAAATTAGACCCAGGAGTCAACAGGCTGGGGTTTAATGTCACGGGCATCCACCAGATTCACCGAAGCCCTGTTACTCCTGTTAATGTTTTTCCTATTTGTGTCATTCTGCAGCACAGGGTGAGGAGTTAAAGCAAAACAGAGCGGATTAATCAAACAAAACCACCAAACGAGTCAGCTTAAAGTAGCACGAGGGAAAATTAGTGGTAGAGGAAGAAACAGGATCAGCAAAGGCACAATACTGACAAAAGCATCTGCAACAGCCAAGAGGCTGCCCTTCCCTGCAGTTGTTGCTCAGGATTCCCGGCCTCCCTGGAGCCTCAGGGCTGTCACAGCACCCCCAGTCCCAGCTCAGCCTCAGCACAGGGACCAGGAGGAGCAGCAGCTGCTCAGCTCTGCTGAGGGAGGGCAGGGCCCTGCACACCTCTGCTGTGCCCAACAGCCTGAATTCAATTTACCCTCAGGTCCTCAGAGCCAGGAGACAGCACACACTGGGGGTTACACACCCTCAGGGTGAAAGGGCGTTTGGCTTTTTCTCAGAAAATCAAAGCAGCTCCTCACTGAACTCTGAGTTTTGCTTCACTTCAGTCAGTTAGGGCTGCTCAGACCACTTTAATGAATTCTGGTGGCAAAAATAACAAGTACTTGTTAATTTTCCTGCTTTGGCCTATTTTCTTTAGAAACACATTTTCTGCCAAGCTCCTGTTGATCAACATTCTTGTAGCACATCCATTCCTGCTGCATCCTTGCAAAGCACCTTAGAGCCCTGGTGAGGGAGTTTACTCCGCTGATCCTGGCTCAGGCAGGGCCCTCTCCTGCAACTGGAGCAGGGGAGCAGGATGGACTCAGTAACCCAAGGTGAAAACACCCAGCCAGACCACAGCCATTCTCCAGGGTGTTCCCCAGGAAAGGCAGGAACTGCCTGACCAGGCAAGTGAACACAGCCAGCCTGGTGCAGCAGGACATCTTTCTAATCCATGATCTAGGGAAATATTTTTCTCCAAATCACATTTTTATTTCCCTTGTTCAGTGATGGGGGTGTTTTCCTTTCAACTGACTGAAGTTTAATTCTTTCCACTCAAATCACCTGGATTTTCACAGCCTTCTGCAGAGTAACAATATTGTTTCCTACCACTGCCTCTTGTTTTGATGAATCCTCCCCTTCCTTCTCGAAATTACTTCCCCAGGGGAAATCCCAAGTTGTTTTGAGGCCAGGGAGAACTGGTGGCCAACATGAACAGACTTTTTAAAAAAGGCCACTGACAAGGTACAACAATGCAACAGAAATCACACCGAGCCTGCTGAGCCACATTTGCACACAACCCACACACAAAAAGCTGCGTGAAGATTTTTTTTTTTAATTAGAAAGTTGTCTAAATTTGGTTTTAGAAGGCACACACATAGCTGTGCATGTCTCTCCTTCCTCTCCCTCTCCTTGGTCCATGCCCACAGTCACCATCAGGAGTGAGTGAGTGTCGCAGGACTGAGTGCTGTTCCACACTGCTCACACTGCTGGGCACGGACACACCAGATCCCATCTGCTCCCGAGGTGAAGGCAATAAAGCAGTGGGACAGACTGAAGAGAACAAAGTCTGAGCACACTTACACACTTCAGGGCCAGGGAATGCTGCCTGGACAAAGGTGACAGAACAAACACTTCCTATTTTTACAAACCCATCCATACAGCAACTGCCTGCATTTGCTCCTGCACCAGAAAGCAGCATTTTGTTTTTATTTCTAGTTAGCCAAGTGCTGAATTACTAAATAATGCCTTTATGTGGAGAGGAAGAACAGAAGAAAAGGCCCTTTGCAGCCCCCAGGTGAGCAACTCCCACAGGGCAGGGACAGGAGCTCAGTGTTAAACAGGGAGCAGGGACAGGGACAGGAGCTCACTGGTAAATAGGGACAGGGACAGGAGTTCAGTGTTAAACAGGGAGCAGGGACAGGGACAGGAGCTCACTTTTAAGGGCTCCTTCTCCGAGGCGTCGCCCGGGTGATCGCTGCTCTTGTACTTGCGCTCCTTGTCGCGGTGGTCGATGGTGGAATATCCATCTGGGGAGACACAACAGCACAGTCAGGCAGGAAGCACACCCAGGAGCACCAGCAGTGCTGATGCCAGCAGAGAAACAGGAACACAAACCATCACCCCCCAAAGATGCAAGCAGCCTGCTGCTGACGTGCTGCAGCTCTGCAATTTCAGCTAGAATAAAACACAGGAGCCCTTTTTTTACAGCACTGCCAGATGCTGGCACTCATTAGCAAGCAGCACTGTTTCCATCCCAGCCTGCTGCACTTTTCAGAGTGCCCAAGGAAAGCAGCGAGTTGTCATCTCAGCCCTGTGGCTAATGAGCTCCAAATTCAGCCCAAATCCGGAGCTCCTCGCTTAGCAGCCTGGTTAATTGGCTGTGTTCATTCTCTGAATGCTCTGCAGCATGTTCCCACTCTTCCTGAGCCTGACTGCTAGCAGGACATGACAATAATTTGGAAGAGTCCCCATCAGAGCACTGAGAAAAAGGGCCTGTCGAGTTGGAAGGAAAGTCACTGCAAACCCTGCTGTGCCTGGGCTGACTTTCATTACCAAGGCACCTGTTGGTGCCTTTTCTCTTGACAGCCAAGGAAGAGCATGAAAGCTTGATGAACACAAGGAAGAAAAGTGTGAGAGGGTTTTATGAAGAAATGGCTCTAATTATTTCAGAACCTTTGCTTTGAATCACTGTCAGCCAATGCAAAACTTAATTTATTTTCATGATGCATCAAATTTCCCTCATTATCAGTGACAAATAGATCCTCACCTGCTCTGTTTTGACAGCATTGTAATCTGGAGTAAATGACACCCAAATTTATAGCTCCCTGTAGGCTTTTGTTTTCCCCTGTGTAATGGAGGGATCACTGATGTTTTCCTACCTGACAAACTGGGTTTTTAGAACACCACAAAAAGGTTTTACATAAACTATCAAAATGCTCCCCTCTCGGTTTATTACCTGCCTGCAACAGGCCATTACAAAAAAATGAGTGATGCTTTTGTGGGGTTCCTGTGGCATAAAGAGGCACTGTTTGCCCAATGACAGCTGCACACACAGCCAGGGAGCTGCACAAACCCCACCCCAGAGCTCCCGTGGCCAGGTGAGACTGGGAAGAGCTGCAGTCTCCCTGTGCACCTCCACCCCAAGTGCACACAGACTGCAGCAAGCACCTGAAGCACCAAATATTTATGACATCCCAGGCAGTAACAGATTATTTAACCACCCTGCCTAAAAATAACTCCAGAATTCTGGAGCTACTCATGTAGCACATAGATCACAGAGCATGAAAACAGCTGTTACACAACACTCCACTTACAATCACTTGTTGACAATGAAGATGCCTGACATTCTTGGCTAATCCTTCTGAACAAAGAGGAAAGAAAGCAGCTGCACCCCCCCGTGTGACCAGGAATCCTCCTTCAAATGACAGGCACGAAACACTGCTAGTAAGTCCTGGCCTGATCTAAGGATTCCTCATTTATTTAGGACTGAACAGGTCACACAGGTGTGTATAAATGATGGAAACACGGTGACTCCTCCAAAGAACCAAACCTGCAGCACGAGTGGCAGCTTCTCCCAACCCAGTGTTAATTCCACTCACAAGGATGTACTGGATCACTCAGCATTTCTGTAGTGCCATCACCGTGGCTGATCCACAGACATTTTCAAGAGGAATTGCAAGATGCAAAGGAACATTTAACCTCCCCCCAGAAAGCAACAGCCACTCAGTGAAGGATGGCAGCTGTGACACTCCCAGGGAGCAGGTCATTAGTGAAGACTGTAACCACAAGAAGCTGAAAGCACAACAGATCTTTACTACTGAAAAATTAAATACCCATGCCCAGCCAGGACACAGCAGCAAGAGGAGGATGAAGCTCTGGCACAGGGGCACTAATCCAACAACAAAGAGGGCTCAGAACTCTGCTCTTCGTGCCCAAGCTCCAGCATGTTTTGCAGTCTGTGCTGCTGCTGTGTGGGCTGTGGGCACATCAGCACAAGTGGGTTTTGTGTTTCCAAAATCCACACACTGTGCTAGGACCCTGCCAAGACAGGCAGCAACTGAGACAGAAAGTTCATGATTTGACCTGATAAAATGAGAAATATCTTGAAGGAGACTGCATCAGAGAAGTAACACCTCACTGTCCCAAGGACCAAAGCTTTGCAAAGAAATCAGAAATACTGCTCTGCCGTGTTTCAGATCCATTCTAAGAAGCCATCAGAATTAACTGTTTCTGTGGCACAAGGAAGATCCATACAGGCCTTGCTGCTCCACAGTAAAGTGCATTATTCTAAGTTCATCCAGTCCCACGTGTGGACAGAAGTTACCCTGGTCAACAGAGGAATGTCCCAGTCCTGGCTTGGTCACTCCTCTCTCTCAACTTTCTGCTCTATTGCTTCACTATCTCCCATTCTCTCTGCAGCCACATTTTTATGTCACAGCAAATTACAGGCCCAAATAGACACCTGCCAGTGTCAGTCCCTTATCAGCTCTGGAGGAGGAGGAAAGCAAAGTTCTGCCTGAAGATGGGCATGGAGGACAGGGGCACCTGAGCCATCTGGTCTGAACAGCCCCCAGGGGCTGCTGTCTGAGTGACTGCAAGTTAACTGAGCCTGGAATCACAGCTGTGCTGCCTCTGCAGACAGCTGGGGGCACAGCCACCCCCAGGCACTGAGCACTGATGATCCCAGGCTCCCGGGGCAGAGCCACCTGCCTGGAGCTGAGAATGCCTGGCACACTGGGCATCCCACAGTAACTCTTCATCCCTGTTCTCTTCCAGCACATCCAACCCTACCCAGGCCCTGCCACTGCCCCAGACAACAGGAATCTGAGTGGCCAAGCACTGCCAGCAGATGGGGAAGTATCTCTGTGTCCCTCACCACTCATCTCCTCTGCAGAGAAGGATGACCCCACAGAGCAGCAAGCAAGGATGACCCCACAGACCCCATTTTTTGCCATCTTGAAATAGCACAGGGTTGAGAGTCAGAGAGTCACTCAAGAGCTGGAGTCATGAGAACATGACAGATTTCATCTCCTGAAGGTGATAAAAGAACTGGAGAACAGAATGGCCCAGAGAACCTGCCTGATGCTGTACATATGCTGTTCATTTGCCTTTAGTTTTGCACTCAGAGCTGTACCAGCAACTCATGAAAGCATAAGGCAACAATTAATACTGAGACTACAAACAACCAGCACTGCCCATACTGCAGCACCTGCCAGCACACAGCCATCCTGCCAGGCAGGCTCTCTGAAGGCATTTTCTTCCATTGGGAGAACAAATGTTTCAGTGTTCCCTGAGGCAAAATACATATGGACAGTTGATTCATGGCAGGTGGCATCTCATTTTTCTAAGGATACAAAAGGTAATATTATACCTGTTATTTTACTTTCAGCTTGGTTCTAACTTCCTGTTTTATTCAGCTACAACCACAAGTAGCAGTGTATCAGGCTGTTTGATCTGGAGGCATTAATGCAGGCATATTTAAATAAAAATAAAGCCAATTAGAAGAAATAAAGTGAATTCTTGAGAGACCATACAGCACCTTTATCTAACTTGGTAGAGAAAAAACCCTCTCCAAGTCTTACACTACAGAGCTTATCAATCTCAGCACATCTCTGTCAGTCAGTGATGTTCCCAGCCTAAAGGAAAAGCCAGGCTCAGCTAACTGCAGGTAAGTGAAAAGTGGAGCCAGGAGTGTCACACATACCAACTTATCTTGGCTATTACCTACGAAACAAAGGCAGAACAGATTTAAACACAAGCCATACCCTGAAGTAAATTTACAACTCTTTTTTTTCCTTTCTGATCCCCAAACTTGCAGATGTGTAAGAGGGAAAGCAGCTGCCTCAAGGGCCAAAGAGCAGAATGAAAGGTGGGCTGCTGTGTCTCCAATGTATGCACAGAGTGGAGGAACTGGAGTGCACACTCTACATGTGTATAAATTAAAAAAAGACAGGAGAAAAAAGACAACCAATCTTTTGTGAGGTAATGTTCTGATTTTAAATGTCAGCTTTATCCATCTGAAATAATATCTCCTAGAGAAACAGTTGAACTTTCCTGTGAGTGACAGTGTGCTCCATTGGAACAGACACGCAGTTTGATCTGGGACTGAATTTACCTGGGCCGAGTTCATCCATAGGTATCATGTCACGACTCCCAGACTTCTCATTATCTGTAAAACAGAAACATTGAAACCACCTGAGTTACATCTGCTTTTCTCCAAACCTGGTAGTTCTGAATTAGTCACAGAACCAGAGAGGTCCATAAAGCACTGAATGCAGAGATTACTGTAAAAAAATCCTGAACTGTTCAACTGTCACCCATTCAGAAAGCAAGTCTGACTGAAGTTCTCCAGAGAGCACAAGTAATCCATCAATCTCCTGCTTTAGCACTGTAATACAGAACTCTCTCTCTCCAAGTGACACCAGAAACCACAGTTCTGCTTTGCACTACCTACCACTATTAACAAGCTTCTCCCTGGTCTCTCCAGAATAGAAGAGAAAATAAGGAAGGTGCAGCTTCTCACGGCACACAGTCCAATCCAGCAGCCTGCTGAGCCAGCAGGAAGCTACTATACAAAGAAAACAAGTTCCCTGTCACATCAGCAAACTGACCCAAATCATCCTTCATCTGCATAATCTTCCAGGTTTGATCAAAGACAGGCAGTGTGGGGCTGTCATTGCTGCAGTTAAACAGGTGATGTGCACCACCAAAACCTCCTGTCAGGAACCAGAGCCAGCCCAGGGACAGAGCAACCACACTGACATCAAAGCTGGAGCCACCCCAGAGCTGCTGTGGCTGCACCTCATGGAAAAGCACAGCCAGGTTCAGCTGGAGCTGGGATTAACTCACCTCCAATAAAACCCCTGCACAGCAGAGCAAGAAGCTGTGCCAGAACAGATGTGCTTTATTCAGAAAGGAGAAGACTCCAGCACTGAGCAGGGGGAAGGTCAAGCCCCTTCTCAACTTGTGTTCCATACAAGTTGAGAAAACACTCTCGACAGTGTAGTTTCCTAAGGGAAGGAATCTCATCCATATGCAGGTAATAAGGACTGACCACTGTGGGACTGTGGGGTAAAATCACCCCAAATAATGCATTTTTACCCCCTCACGCTGCAACACAGTTATAGGAAATCCAGAAAACAAGAGAGCAAAGCACTACAGAACAAGGGATGAAGAGCAGAACTGACCTTGACTTTTATCCACCAGAGGCAACGTGCTGTCATCATAGCCAGACCTGCCAGCAGGAGCCTTGGAGCCCTTCGGAGCCGCAGACACGGCCTAGAGACAAAACCCACACAAACACAGAGCTGCTACTCGGGCCAACTGGACGAGGAAAATAAACAAACCAACACTGTGGAGACATCGTGGAATGCTGCTGAGCATTCCCCCTGCTGTTGGTAATATGGCACTGGAGGATTCTTCTATTTTCATACAGATTTGCTGGGGGGATTTTCTCCCTGTTATCTGAATGGCAGCACTGTTGCTCTGTAAAAGGAGCAAAACCTTTCCCCAAGGAAGATGAAGAGGCTGCAGATGAAGCAGCCCTGTCCTGCCACAGGGGATGTTTCAAATGAGACAACTAAGACAAGACATGCTAATTCTTCCTCCAGTAAAACCGGGGTATTTGGCCTGTAAGAGGTGGTAAATTCCCAAACCTGGAGAGCTGCATTTCCCAGAGCACAGGAAAGCACAGCCAGCAGAACATGCATCATGGTGTGACTGAGTCAGAATACAATCCCTTGGGCTATCACCCAGAAGATGTGAAGCCTACCATCTACCACACTGCAATCCTACACTAAACCAGGACATCTTCCACTCAGGCACTTCCCATCCTAACCTAAGATCCAGCGCCTTTACCTGAAAGTGTGACTTGTTCCACCCATCCTTCTGCAGGGCATTTCGTAGCTCTTTGTAGCTCCAGATCATCTGAAGAATGTGAGATGCTGCTTTTGTTTCTCTGGGAGACTGGCTGATATGCAAGACAAAATCAGAGTCTTAAGTGTCAAGCAGTGTCAGACTATTCAAGTGTTGGTACCTAGTGCTGCATGCAGCTATTATCTGCACCTCTGGGTTAGGGGATTTATGTGACTTCTTCATGCCTACAGGTATTTGCTGACAAAAACAGAAATCAAGAAGTTGTAAATTGTGCACATTTTTGGGTTTTCACAAGTACTGCTGGACAAGCACTGAGGCCAGGGTGACCCTTTTCTCTTGTAGCATCAACAAAAACCAGATTCCATCCAGGAAAAAAAAAACCATCCCAAACAAACAAACAAAAAAAGTTCTATGCCACTTTTCAAACCTTCCCCCCAATGTATCTCTATCCCCCACAATTCAATGAAGTTGCTCCATAGTTCAGAATACCTTACAAAGTAATTTGGGTCAGCAAAAAAATAAGCTGTTTTTAAACAGAAAATGAGTTTTTATCCATTCCCTACTAGGTCAATAAAATGAAACAGGCCTAGATTTTTGGTCAGCTCATATTTCGTAACAATACAACCCAAAAAAGCTGAAAATGCACCTACAACGTGTAACTGGCTGAGCCACACAAAACAAAGGCTCTGAAGCAGCCAGAACACAGGTTTTCATCCTGGCATTTCAGGAATGGAACACTGCCACAGAAAAAAGGCCTCCCACACTGAACCCCAGAGCAGGGTTTCACTGCAAATGCTGTCTGAGTGCACAGGTGGTGCCAGGATGTCTCTGACAAGGAGAGAGCACCTCAGAGCGTGGCTGAAGTGACCACTCAACTAACTTTCATATCCAGTAACCCTACTAAAGGTGCTGGCTGGTTTTACCCTGTAGGTATCAGCTGCTGAAATTAAAGCTCTGGAAGGCTCAGGATGCTCCAGTACTTGACAACCCAGAAGCTGCTGTTTGTGGACCCTGTCGTGTTTGCAGACAGTTCCTGTGCATTCCTTCCAGCTGTACTTACCTGGACTTGCTGATAGCTACCAGCTTCTGAATGCCCTGGGTCTGGATCAGGGACCTTGCATTTTCTGAGCTGTCAGTAATGATTTCATGGATGGTGTTCAACACTGCCACCACTGTATCCTCTTCCAGGTTCTTTGCAGATCTCTGCTGCCTGCTGGGCAAATTCCTTACCAGCTCACCCATGGCATAACTACCTAGAGAGGGGGAAGAGATACCATCAGGCAGCCCTAATAATCAATTCAGCTTCCCATCCTGAATGATAACACTCAAGGGCATTTGACACCTCAAGAAAAACTTTACAGTGTACGTGTTTTGAGCCTCAAGACTGTAACTTCACAGGGTATTACTACTCCTGGCTTCAAGGAAATTGAGAGTTGATACCCAAGACAAAGTCCTTCATCATAAATGCTAAAAAGTATTGAGAGGGGGAAAAAAGCAATCTTTATTGAGAATTTTACAGCCAGCATCTATCATATTTAGCGAAGCCTGAGGCAAAAAAAAGCATCCAGTAGCTGCTGCCAGTGCCACGTTTTCATGCTAATACACACACAGCCTGCTCAGCTCAGCCTTGTAACAGCCCTTCTGGGGCAAGGTGTGCAGTCCTGCATTCATTAACCTTCCCCCCACAAAGGTGAGAGCATTTCCTCCTGGGTGCACTCAGCCTTCTCCAAGCACAGGACTGCAGAAAAAACAGGGGGGCTGGATTGACCACTCCCAGGTGTCTGTACCACTGGCCGCTACACCTCTGAACCACTAAAAAGAGAACTTGATGCATTAAGGCAGAATCCCACCTTGCTATTTGCTAGCATCAACTTCCATGGTGGCCCTAAACATGTCACCAGTATTTCCTGAGTCCCACTAAGTCTCTGTGACCACCACACAAGTGCCCCACCAGCCAGAGCTAAGGACGAGACAAGAAACCTCTAAACCCACCCAATCCTCCCTGCAAAAGTCTGCATCTGATCTTACTCCCAGGTTAGAGACTTCCCTCAAACCACAGCTTGTCTGAGTGGGCTGTAAATACATCCTGACTGACAGCCCCCAGCTTGGTGTCTGCAGGACAGCGTGGACGGGAACTGCACACAGAAGGAATCCCCAGCACAGGGGACAGAACAGGGGAGTCTCCCAAGGGTCCCCAAGGTCCCAGGCTGGTCAGAGAAGCTCAGCAGGTACCTATGAGGTCCTTGTTGCGCCGATCCATGGAGAGGTTTCTCAGGGCAATGGACACAGCCCTCACCACCTTGTCGGAGTCGGACTGGAGCAGCTCCACCAGCACCGGCAGCCCCCGCTCCTTCCGCACCGTCGCACGGATGTAGGTGGACCACTGAGCAGCCAGCAGGCCAAAAGAAACAACACAAGCACTGTGAGTCCCTGCCCAGGCCCTTCCCTCGCCCCTGGCACTCCTGACAGTGCTATAAAGCCTTTCCTCCCCTGCAAAGACCCTTCTGGTGTGTGTGCTGATGTCTCAACCCCTCAGTCAAGTTCATCGAGCACCAAGGCAGAAAGGATGCAGAAGTTCATCCTGCACCTAGGGAAGCTGCTGGGGAAAGAGGACAGAAATAGGAGGAAGGAGGGTCATCCATCAGCATTCTGTACCTACCTCAGTCTGAAAACATCCCTCTGGGTTAGGAAAAAAAAGAGGTCATTTGGGAGAACAGTAAAGCATCTAAAGCATCTGTGATCTTCCTCCTTCTCCAATTTCATGCTTTTATTCTGTTTCACAAATGAGTTTAAACTAAGCTGCAGTCAAGACAGCTGTGAAACACCATCCTGCTGACCCTCAGGCCACTGATCAGCCCCACTCTGCCACGTGATTCCAGACATGACCAGGCACAGCTTTGAGAGAACTGCCTGAGTAGTGCTGGGGATGCTTCCAGAGGATGCAGGACGGACTCTGGGAGTGCAGCTTCCTCAGCAGTCTGACAAGCCAACAAATGAAGTATTCAGGACACTTAATCACCTAACACCAGGGTTTTCTGAGTGGACAAAGTAAATGGTTAAGTGGCCTAAGTTAGTAAAACTTGTTCATGGTTAAACTGTCATGAGCTCAGTGACACTTCCACTACGTAAACATCCTCTGTCCAGAAGATGCAAAACATCTTCAGTGAGCAAATGGAAATAAACCTTTGGCCTTCCCACCTCCTTCCTTTTTAAAGGAGATGCAAATGCAGGAAGTAACAGTGCCCTTACACTGGGACTCTGCCTTGCTCTGTACCCACAGAAAGGAGACCAAGAGGCTGCAGAGAAGATGCACTCACCGTCCAGTTGCCAGCACTGAGGTTCTGCAGAGCTCCTGCTGCAGCTTCCAGAGTGTTGAAGTTCTGGCTCTCGGTGAGGATGGAGAGGTACAGCCGGACCACGTCTGGCTGGTACAGCAATTCAAAGCCTGCAGGAGAACAGGAGCAAGAGAAGCAGAGAGGACAATAAACACACAGCATCCCTGTATTTAACCACAGGAGAAAGCTGCTACACCACAGAAAGAAGGGCTTCTGCCACATTCAGGTCAGTCCATCCACAGCTGTGGAAAACAGTGATGGCAACTCCTGCAGAGAATGTTCACGTGGGCTGGAGGGCCCTGTGCTTGTGTTCAGGCTGACAATTCTCTCTGAAATCTGGGCTATCTACACACTGCCTGGCATGCATGTAATGACAAGCTGACAAGAGACAAATTTTGCCTGCAACAATTCTTCCTGCATCTCTAGACTGGGCTGCAAATTGACCTTGCACTCCTATTTTTATTCAAATCTCTCTCCCTACCTCTGGAGACACAAACAGCAGGGCCAGGGAGAACAAGCTACACCATCATATCAGCCACCCCTCTGCACACAGGGGACAAAAGACAGAGGCAAGATGTCCAAGTGACCAGAACCCCCATCTGGGAGGGGCAGGGAGAAACACTGATTCCAGTTCAAATATTCAGTAAAGAAATACACTGGCATTGTACCACCCTGGGAGCCTGAGACAGACACACCTGCCACCCACATGTCCCCAGAGTCCCTGCACCAGCTCTGCACTTCAGCAGGACAGGCACGAGAACTGTTCCCAGCTCTGCCACCCATTTCCTCCTGTGATGCTGAGCTCCTGACAGCAGCATCCTCACCCACAGGATCAGGACTCACCCATCTACCCACATTAGAAAGAGGGTGTTGGGCAAGAACTTCATCATTCCAAGTTGCTGCACAATTTGAAGGAATTTTTCTCCATCTTTCTGCTCTAAGTGCAGCACGAGGCTCTGCACCAAAGAGGGCAGAGCATGCCAAGCATCCTGCTAAAGGACTGACCACCCTCGGTGCTGTCTGAGTGTGTGAACAAAAACACAACCCCCTGAAGTGCTCTGGGGAGTGCAGGAAGCACAAGCAACCACGGTCAGCACAGCCTCACTGCAGCTGGTTTGGTGGCTTGGGGCAGTTTGCACTAAGCAAGGTTCAGCAGGCATCATCTAGGAAAGGGCTGAGAGAACACCACATCAAAGAAAGCAGAAAGGTGCCAAGGAACTTGGGCAAAGAGGGAAATTGAAGCTTCTTTTGAGCAGAAGAATTTTATGGTTATTATTTGTACACATGAAAAGGATGTTTTTCACCTCACTAGATGCTGCCCTAGAAGTGGAACATAATTCAAAGCAAGTTTTCCACTAGGAAGATAGAAAACCTACAAACACAAATCACTTCCTCTCTTCAGTACTTGCTCTTCAAAAATCACCAGTCTCTCATATACATATTTTTCAGCATATATCACAGATTATCATATTTCAGACATCTCAGATCAAAACTACAAGCAAGAAAACTAAGCAATGCTATCCAGTCCTGTGGATATCCTATCATTTTTTTTCCTTTTTAAAATTCTCTTCTGGTAAAGGCTTTCTGAAATGAAAGCCTTGGTTTTAAATCTGCTTCTCCACATTCTTCACAGCAGTTACTGCTGTGGGGCTATGTGAGCCAAGCTCTCAGAACTACTTTAAACCTTCTACAACACTGCCCATAAACACAGGCCATGCCACCCCCTGGGAATACAGGGGTACTTATCCCCCTGAAAGCAAGGAAACACACTTAATTAGCTCTAATTTCTTAATTAAGTGACTCCAGTGACTGGAGAGTGAACCAGCTCCACGTCTGGGACTGCTTTTAATGCCACCACTTGTGTGCTACACATGACACCCTACGGACATGTGCAAGCTGCAACAGGTGGCAATCCCCAAAGGCATCCTGCCAATCCATACCCCTGACCTCCCTCTTCTCCAGTGTCCTCTCCCTGCACTGGGATCACTGCCCTCTCCACTGAATGCAGAGGAAAAACTGTCATTCCTTAATCCATGAAGCACGAGCAGCTGTGCAGCTCTGCTCCGCTCCTCCAGCAAGACAACCTTCAGATCACCTTTTTCCCCTGCCACTTCACAAGGTGAACTGGCAATCTAAGAACTCCTCAAGAAAAACCACTGCTGATAAGCACACAGTATTCCTTTCCTGAACACTAATACTTGAAAATCTCTTAGGACAGCCTGCTGGAATTTCAACACCGAGTTATCTTCAGGGAAGCTCTGCTGAAATGTAAATCAGATCAGCAGAACAGATGAGAAGGCAGGTTCATTAACAGATAATACTCACACAGAACATTTGCTGCTTCCGTGTGTGAGCTCAGAGCTGCCCGTGGTTCAGGAGGATGCCAGTGCTCAGCCAGCCTTCTGGTTTACACCGTCCATCTACAACTTGGGCACCGTGAACCAGCCCCACACGTTCACCCCGTGCTGTTATTTACAGGCAGTCTGTGATGTGCCCCTTCTGCCAGCCTGTACATTCTTTCTGGCTGGACACTCCTCAGCACCTCCCTGGGTGTGAATGCCAAGATGCTCCAACCCTCTCACCTCTGCTTCCCTCCTGCAGCCCCGGCCGCATTCCGGTCACGCAGCTCCCCCCGCTCCCTGTCAGTGCCTCCCTCCATGCATGAAAGCCTCTCCTTTTCCCTACTTACTGATGTAAGAGCATCTCAAAAATGCCTTCACCTTCTCTCCTCAATAATGCACAGCATTTGCTCTACCAGCTACCAGTACATGCCCGCTTTAGGGCACAGCTCCTTAGCCAGCTGCTGGATGATTCCCTCCTCACTCCACACATCCCCCCTTTCCAACCACACTGATGCCTCTGCCCGAGTGGCATCTGTTTGAAACAGTTAACAAGGGCTACACACCACAGAGAGAACTGTGGCCTCCCTCCTGTCTGCCCTGCTCCCCTCACTGCTGCATCTCCCAGCACTGCAGCCCTTCTGTCAGCCTGGCTATGCCAGAGAAGGCAGCAGGATTTGCTACAGCCAAGTATTAAGAATGCCCTCGTGGATGGCTGCTCATTAGCAGGGATGAGATCCTAATAGCGAGCAAGTTACTGCTGCACTGGAGGGTTTCCCCTCATTGACAGCAACCTGACACTTCTCATAAGCATTATAGTGCCTTAAAAAGAAACAAACAAGTTTTATATTTTCTCCATCTGCTTCCTGTCCTAATGAATCCAGCTCTGCTATTTATAGGATGCAATTTGTCTGAATTATTATAAATTTCCTCCCAGTGTTGCATGGAGGCCTCTAACATTTTTCCACAAAGCGCTTCAGGCACGTTCCTGGAAGCACAGCTGGTCTCACCTCCATTAAGCACCTGCTTCTCTTCAAAACTGATTTCCTTAATTTCAAGATCATCTTAATTATTTTTTCAGGTAACGCTACTTTTATGCAAGATACAGCTAACTGCTTATATCCATTTTTTTTAATGCAAATGAGGAAAGAGGGTCATTAGTGACAGATAATACATCCAATGAGAACAACATCCACTGTTTTTCTTGGTCTTTAAAAAGCTGTTTTAATTACAGCCCAGATTCAGCACTGCTCTTAAAAAGATAATTTTCCTAGAACAAACGAACTTTTCCATCAGTTATGGATTTGTGCTGAGTTGCAATCTGTTTCCTCCTGGAAAAGCACATAGAGAAGTCATTTATTGCTTTTTTCCACTGCAGAGTAAACGAGTTCCCTGTGTTAGCTCTTGCCTTTCAGAGAAACAGAGCAATGCCTCGAACCCTGCTGGCACCGGGAGCAGGGTCTGAGCACTCCCCAGCGACCACGGATGTGTCACAGAGGAACATCCTCCACCTCACACTCATCCCCACCAACGCTGCAGTCTCATCTTCCTGAGAAAAAGGAAGATGAGCTTCTTTGCAGCAGAGTTGCTAAAAATTGGCAAATGGATTAGTTGTGTGTGAGGTTTGCACTACCGGGAGGTGGCACGTGGATTATCCTCTATCTGCCCACAGAACGGTGACAGCACAGACAGCAATTTCAGTCCTGAATGGAAAACACCTGAGGAATTAGCTGGGCTGATTAGCCCTCTCCATCCCTCAGAACCTGTGATGAGAATGATGCAGCAGTTCCTGGATTATCTCCTCCACAAAACTATTTGCTTTTATCTTGGCAATGCTGATCCTGTGCCTACACTGAGCTACATTCTGGCAATACCACAAGACACTGCACCAGGTGCCTATGCCTGATACACCTGCTTGAGCCCAATTTCAGACAACTCTCTTTGGAGCAAGGCTGCTAAATCTATTCCCCTTCACCACCCATTCCATTTAGGATTTATTCCCCTCCTACAAGCACGGGAAATTACACAGACACGTACACTGGTCAGATGAGAGATCTGCTGCAGCAGGAACAGGCTGCCTCAGTTCCTATCCATGCAAAACCCCTGGGCTGCTGTTTAAAACAATGGTAGATTTCAGAAGAAGCTGGAAGGATGCTGGTGACAGCGTAGGGAAAAATAACAATGTCTAATCCTGGGGGGGAGGAAATAAAAAATCATTTAAGTGAACCCTGGCAGCAACTCATCCCTGCAGTGTGCACAGGCAGGGGCACACCAGTGGTTTGAGTCTCACTTGCTGCACTCTGGTTCCCAAGGCAGAGAAGGTGCAGCACCACCTGGACTCCTCTGGGATGCCACTAGAGCAGGAGATGCCCTCCGTGCCCACAGCCCCCAGGGGTGGGCAGGACTGGGAGCTCAGGGGCTGCTGCGCTGGGCAATCCCAGCAGCTGTGACAGCGACCGGCAGATGGAGCGAGAGGAGCCCGAACGCACCTTCCCCGCAAGGTCACTACTAACAGACTCTGCAGAGTAAAGAAAGCAGCTCCCTCAGCAACCAGGAAGCTGTGAGCCAAAAGAAAAAAAGAGGAAAAAAAAGAGTAAAGAATCACGTCAGTAAAAGAAACGAACAATTATCTTCTGCACAAAAGGAAAGCTCTGCAGACCTTGGACTCCTGCCCTCTGCTGACAGCCGGCTGGGACCTTCACCACAGCCCGTGCACTCCACTGTCTGCAAGCTGTACACCAGAGCTCCGAATTATTTGCTACAGAAATGTT